CGGTCCGGTACGGGGGCAACACTGAGTTACATAGAAAATAAAAGAATAACCTTTACTATTTAAGTGAAGGCCATAAACAGTAAACCAAGGAGACTGGCCCATCAAAATTGAGCAAACTTTGCTAAGATTTTAACCAGTTCATAATATTTCAGACTCAGGTATTATAAACTAAGGCAAACAAAAGTTACATTTCAAGTTTTGCCCTCATTATTCTTCATATTCTGGACAAACTTATGCTTCACTTGAGGATAGGTCTTAGGGAGTCCTCAAGGTCAGAATTAATTTTATCATAATACTAAGATGTTATTAACATGCAATGCATTTATCATTGCTATCTTCAAATGAATCAAAAAATAAGCATTTCTTACTGTTTTAGTTTCCTTTTCTAGTAAAAAAAGCGCTCCTACATGAACTCGAAGACAGTGTGAATCCAAGAAAAGTCTCTGCTGAGCGGACCGAACAAAAATGAAGAGGTTTGCCACTGAGGCGGACGGCCATAGTAATGCAGATTCTTTGCTGAGGGAGGAAGCCACAGTAAATATGGAGGGCAGGAGGAGACGGGTGCTGGAGGGGGGTTGCCGTGGCCTATGGACTTGGTAAATTCAGCCCCTCCATAAACACAAGGGGCCCTTTATTTTTATTGCATGTGGCAATAGGTCTGTGAAACTCCAGCATCCCATCCCCTGGGGTCAGAAGCATTCTCCCTCTGCAATGATTTGGAGCCCAATCTCAGAAAGACGGGCTTCCCCATCTCCCACATGTTGGATGCAGAAGTTGTGGAGAGAATCCAGATTCAAGATAATCCTGCTCATTCAGCCTGTTTTCATAGAGCCCTTGCTGTGTGCCAGGTACTAGACTGGGCACCAGGGAATCAGCAGTGAATGAGACAGACAAGGTCACTACCTTCACGAAGCCTCAGTTCTAATGAGAGAGATGTTTCTTCCTTCCATGTACATTTACTGAGCACCTACTATGTGCCAAGTCACAGATGGGGGTAAAGGGGGTGAAAAACCCAGACAGAGTCTGGGTAATCAAAGAGACACATAAGATCAGCTGCAGAGGGGCATCCAGTCAGATGGGCTGGGGTTCAAATCCCAGCTTCACCATGCAATGCTGCCCACCATGCTATGTTGAGCAGCTGACCTTATTTCTCTCTGTTTCTTCATCTGTAAAATGGGTGTCATTGTGTGCACCTCACAGGGCTGATGGGAGAGTTGAAACATGGCACACAGAAGGTCCTAGAAAAATTGCCAACCAAGAGCCCACTGGGATCCAGGGGAAGACAGGGGTGCAAGTGCATTTGCTCACTCCACACACATACATTGTATGCACACTCATGCCAGACTGTTCTAGAGGATAGGGGTCCATCAGGAAATGAGGCAAATAGAACTCCCCAACCTCAATAACATGAAGACAGATTTGGAGACAAAGTGGCTTTTGTGTTTCACAGCCAAGTAGTCTGGGTTTGAGTCCTGACACTGCCACTTGGACAAGTTAATTCTGTCCAAGACCTGTTTTCCTCACCTGTAACTGGTACTGATGAGAGTCCCTAACCTCACAGAGCTTTCGTGAGGATTATATGTGATGATGTCCATAAAGCCCTTGGCAACCTGCCTGATGGTTGTAAGTGGAGACAGAGAAGGCATTGGCTGGTGCAGAAAGTCAGAGCCGGGCAGAGAAAGGGTTCCCATAACCTCAACGTGGCCAGAGACCACCTCCCCAGCCACCCATTCCCACAGTCACACCCAGCCTCTATCTCCGTCCGGAAGGGCTCCACCTCTGAAACCACAAAATCCCACATCCCACTCTCTGACCACAGCTTCCCATGCTTCCGGTGGGTGGCCCCACCGTACCTGTTCCTCCACTTCAAAGACACTTGACCCTCTCAGGTAACTTCCCCACTGAGCCCCTTCTGTTTTCACGTCCTTCATCCCCGCAGAGCACTCCCTGGCTGTCCTCAACTCCCCTGTCTCAGCATCCCTGCAGCCATCACCCAGTCCTACATGAGCCTGCTCTTTGCCTACATCCAGGCTGTTGGACAAAAAAATTAAAAAGAAAAAAAAAATCACCAGCTGCTGAGATGGTGCACTTTTAAATGCATGATCACCAGCGTCACCGGACACCTTCCCCGCCATCCTCCGCCTTCCCAGCCCCACTCCCGCCCAGGCGCCCCTGGAGAGGAGCCGGCCTCCGTCTCCCTCCCCAGAGCAAACAGAAGCCACAGGACAGGCCCTGCCTCGACTTCCTGCCACCAGACCCGTACCCTCCCCACAGCCTCACCTGCCCTTTCCTTCTTCCTTCCTGGAAGGGATGTTGAGGCGTCTTTCTCCCTGTCTGGGGCTGATCCCACCCACCCGCCGGTTGCACCATCCGCCCCTTTGTTCTCGGGCATTTTGTGCGCTGCGGTCGTTAAGAGCCCTCCGCCTGGGTTCAAATAATGGCGTCACCACTTAGCGTTGTGTAACCTTAGGCGAGTGGCATAACTTCTCCGTCTTGGTTTCCTCGTCTGTGCAATGAAGATAATAAAAGTACCCCAGGTCCTTAAGAAAACTTAACGTGGAGCAGAGATTCAGACGGTCCTGGGGTTTGCACGCCACCTCCCGCTCTTACCAGCCGCGTGACCTTGGACAGGCCTCTTCCTCTCCCTCTCAGCCTCAGTTTCCCAGTCTGTAAAATGGGGACAAGACAGCGCCTGTCCCGCGGAGTCCGGCCTTTCCACGACTTCACTGCCCTTGCCTTCTGCGCTCCCCTGCTCGCTGCTCGCTCGGCCCAGCCACGCGGGCTCCCCCGGCGGTGCCCAGACCCAGCGGACCCTCCTCCCCAGAGCCTCTGCACGCGCTGCCCCTTTCATAAGCCCCCGTCACTGGTAATGTCGTGTATGGTATTTACCTACTTTTGCTTCCAGAATATAAGCATCAGTAGGGCAGGGATTTTTTTTTTTTTTTTTTTTTTTTTTT